AACAGTAAGAACGCACCGGCTTAACCCAACCCAACGTGCCTTACACGGCCGCCGCGTGATGGCAATCGTCCGCAGTCCGGTACCGGCGTCAGTATCACTATTATTATTGTGCGGGCGCGCGTCGTGACCAAAGTGCCTCTCTCTCTCATTAGCACACATACACACTACACCTGTTGAGCCCAACCGATCACTTTTCGCCATTTCGGAAGCCAACGCGTCGAGGCGCCCGCCCCCACTCGAGACGCCGGCACACACTACACGAACTCGTGCTGAGCCATCCCACCCCGTCTCCCCACCCAACGACCCAACTCCTGATCGGCGGAAACGTTGAGGTCGGCCGGTACGTTTTCACCGACATCCGACACATGCGCGCCGCAGTGCTCTGGCCGCAGACGTACCGCGCGATGAAACCCACGACACGGCCAACCGAATCATCAAACGGACAGCACGAATCGCATCATCCGAAGTTTTGAACCAACACATTCTTAACGGTTCTGAGCGCAAAACAAATTGTCATCGTTAAATCCAAACAAATTAATTACAGTACATTACCAAATCGTATTAACTTTTACAGGCCAGGAAAATTCCAAATAATTTTTACGAATTCATAGAGTTGAAAAAAAAGCAAACAGTTCGAGTCGAGTCTGAATTTCAATGATTCACCGTCTCCAAGGAAAATAAAATCAACAAATAAACATCTATCCATGGTGAGTACACGTTTTTAAAAATCAATTAACGACANTATTAACTTTTACAGGCCAGGAAAATTCCAAATAATTTTTACGAATTCATAGAGTTGAAAAAAAAAGCAAACAGTTCGAGTCGAGTCTGAATTTCAATGATTCGCCGTCTCCAAGGAAAATAAAATCAACAAATAAACATCTATCCATGGTGAGTACACGTTTTTAAGAATCAATTAACGTCGTTCGTTGGGATTGGTTTTTTAATGACTTTTCAATTTTTAATATAATTTTACCTCGTGTGTTCAATGTAATTATAATATTGTATTTCCTCGATAACTAATGAGCCGATGTATTGTGTTCGTGTGACAACGAAACTATAAGTCTACGTACGACATTTGCTAAAACTGTAATTTATCAAATTGTAATTTACAAAAGACACGATAAGCACAAAACGATTTACCTAAACTTGGCTTGTCACAGATAATTTTACGGCGTTAACATTTTTACGTTTTTGCCGCCGTGTAGTTTAATGGCCGTCGCATTGTTCGCCATGAGTTTTTTTTTCATATTAGCACACACTAAATAGGGCGGCTGTGATAAAATGGGTAAAAAAAAGTCTGACGATCGACCTTTCTGTTCCACGACTCCGTCACAACACTCAAATAAGCTTAACGTCGTGCGGGGCACTCGCGCAAAAGTCTCACGATCTAAACGCCCGTATTCTCTCTATATAAATAAACAATCACATAACGCTATATGGTAATAAAACGGTCAGGTGTCACTTTTTGGCTTTTAACACGTCGTGTGTGCGTTAACTTTCTCATCGGAAGAAAACACACGCGCATTAAAAACACCCGCGTACAACGCACTCGGGTTCACGCTGCTTTCTCCGTCGGGGTCAAAAACATGATAACATTATTATGGTCGCGTTCGCCACGGCAAACAACACAAATTTTGGAGAAAATAACAATGATTATTGGTTAGGACTGCCCATAAGCGTCCGAGAGAAAGTACACACACGCACAGGCGTCGAACGCGTTTTGTCTTACTTGAAAGTATTTTTTTTTACCAAGTCATTTATGTTGTTTACATTGTGCGCGGCCGTCTAATGTTGGTCGTCGGGCGTTTCACATTTACTAACGTGAATCGTTTCAGATATCAAAAGGTTCGTCAAAGGCCAGAGTGCCGGACGGTTCGCCTACCAGGTCCGCCGCTGGCGGTGGCGGTGACGTCAACAACAACGGACCGACAAAGTGTTTGAACGGAGCTTGTGGTTACGGACCTTCCTCGGCCGCCGGCGGTACGTGTGACAGACCGGCCACGCCACCCCGGCGAGTCCAAGTCACGGCCAAGATCCTGTTCGGTTCGGTAAACGCCATATCAACGATGAAGCAAAACGACAAACTGCACAGGAAGAAGTCGCAATGATACTGTCTCTCGCTCAACGTCCGGCTATTCATCCACACACACGGCCAACGGATAAGGTAAAAAAAAACAAAAATGCTATTTAATTACCCCTAGCAAGTTCCACGCAGTGCATATTGATACCGGTCTAGAATTGATCGAATTGGTAGTAAAAAACTTTGTTGGTTTTTCCTCGTTGAAAAAATATCGTAAAATTTTAGCATTTTGTAGGTGAGCGATCGCGAGTTTGTGGGAAATGGTAAAACACGGACTATTAAAAAACGTTTTTATACCAGCGATGTCTAGAAAACAAATATTATTCGTCTGTGCAATGTATCTTGTCGGCGTAATTTGCATTTAAATTTTACGTGATAAATAAGTCGTTAAGAACAGATTTATTTTGTTTAAATGAATTGATTATTAACCGGTAAGAACAATGCGTGACAACAGTTATGAATATAAGACGGCGTTTTATGTAGGCATTTTATGCACACACATGTGTACGTTCGGAAATCAATGTGTTTGAAGTAGTTTACCAAGTTGTAAATTCGTTTTCATATAATTTATATTTTCATTAATCAATCTGTTGCCAGTGGAAACTCGCCACACTATTATATAAATAATTTATCTCGATGTTAGTGCAACAGAAGAAATTGAAGTTTTAGGAATTCATTTACCATACCTGGTGCGTCACGGCTCTAGAGCATCAGCGATTGAAGAAGAGTAAATAGTTGGTAAATTACGCAATATGTATGTAGATATGTATTACATTTTTTTAGATTTCGTAATTCGTGAGTCACGACTCCATTAAGCAATAATTGCATTCAACTAGGTATTTCATTATATCGTTTTATTACTAAGATTCAATTAATTATATAAATTCATTCTATCACTATTGATATATGTGGTATTAAAATGCATTCTAGTGGATTTTAAAGATCTAATGATTTGTCTTTGGGTTTATTAGTTTCAATTTTACTTTGAATGGACTTATTTTATACTAACAAGAAAACTTCAAACATTTTGGATTAGAATTACATTTCAATATGTTTATTATTGACTTTAAACTAATTTGAAATTGTGTGTTACTATTTAAAATTATTTCCCAGTTAAGCCACACCAAAATCGACACATAATTAATCAAAGTATAATTGAATTAGATAAAATAATTGTTAAGTTATATAAAACAAAAACGAAAAACTCCGGATGTACTATTTTAAGATCTTGAAAGTATTAATAAAATATTAATATTGTGGACGCTAATTATTGCATAATTAATATTTAAGCAATAGAAAAAATGTCTTATGTAAAATCAGTTTTAAAGAATATTTTGCGCTACAGTTATTACGATATAAATTAAATGTTGCATAAAATATTATAATCAGCATAAAAAATAATGATAATTTTTTTTGTATAAAAATCGTCGTTGTGCGACAGAGTAGAAAGTTTTACTATCGTTCAATGACTTAAAGATAATATCTTTTTTTGTGCTTCGGTCCATGTAAGTCAATGAAGACAGCGCGTCGGTACCTTTAAACGTATCTGATATGCATCGTCGACGACTTCCTATACTTTCATGGGCTACAGACATTGGTAGCCTCATAGGTGAATTTAAAATCTCTGACGAATCTGGACGGTATTGTGGGCCTATATGAGAACGTATTGTTTACTTAACAACAAATAAATAATCTTGCCGTTTGCTCGTTTCTATGGGCACAGTTGTTCGTGGTGCAAAAGAGAAAGCTTTTATATAAATAATTGAAAAAAAAAAAAAATCACACAAAACACATAACGTCATCGTTCATAGGGAAGTCGGTCTGAGAAAATCCTTGTGATGATGTAACCGATCAAATAAAGACTATTTGATCACTTCGCATTTACAAATTATACATAACCGTAACATCCGATATAAAAACGCCATTTCCGAATTTCTCTCGAGATGTTTGTAAAAAAATGACGAAACGGATTGAAAGTTAAATAAAAACGCCGTTAAAAATAAAAATCCAAGTGTTTTTTTTACTAACGATTGCGTCGAAAAATTCTTTAGTAATATTTGTCGTTATTATTTTTGCGAGTTTCAAACGCACTGCAGCCAATGACTCGGAACAAACGGGTTATGATATCGATTATTAATTATCTAAAAATAATTGACTTGCAATCGCTCGGCGGCAGTTTCCGACAATTGAGTAAGACGCGGTTGGCAACGTCTTTATAACGACCAGCGGTTTTGCCCTAATAGAAACCGAAAACCTGATGGCGTTGGTTTTTTACGCCTGGAACCAGTGGACTCGCGAGTGCACCGATCCGAGTGCCGTACAAACCAGACGATTAAAAACGGTCGAAAAAAAGAAACGGCATTTTAACGATGCGAAAATGTTTAAAAAAAACACATTTAGAATGTGTCCGGGTGCGCTAATGACATGCACCGCTTTCTCTGCACACTCGAGTTTCGTATGGGCACAGTGACGTCCGATGGGTTTTCGCCGGTGCGGTGAAATCGAACGCGTTGCCACTTTTCAATTTTCACAGCCGTTACCGTTGTGCTCTCTACGGGCGGTTTCCTCGGGCAGCCCGACGCGTTTCCCGCGGTCCGTCACCCGTTCGTCCGGCGTACCGTATCCACAGAGTCATCTGTCGAGAAATCCAACGACCACTGCTCTCTCCTATTCCGCACGCTTTCCACGCGCCCCTCGGTTTTTAACGCGCCAGCGAAAGGGGAAATCACTTGGAAGGGGGCGCGGGGGAAGTCGCATTGAAAAAATATTATAAAACGCAACGACCGGTCCGACAGTGACGCCAATCGACTACGTCAGCCATCTGATCGCCACGTCTCGCTCGGAGTTATTCATTAATTATACCGAAGAAACGTACGTTAACAACTATGCGACACTTTATACTAATTAATCGGTAAATAGCACATATACTGCTGCAGTGCGTATGTCAGTTTTTCACGATGTTAACAAAACAAATTATACGCGTTTTAATAAAATAGGCGATGGTGGTTTTGTTTGCAATACAAGTACGAGCCTCGCAAAAATCTTTGCAGGAAAAAATGTCGAGTAAAACTTTTTTTTATCATTACTGTTAACACATATCATTTTGAAATGCGCGCTATTGCAGCACAAGCGACTATATGGTTTTATTCGGTTCTAATTCATGTGATTTGTTTTTTTTTCAGTTTTAATATGCGATGTA